TACACGCTCGTCTGCAGCATCTGTCCAACCGTCGGCTTACATACCTTGTCCATCGCTGTCTCAACAAACTTTCCACCGTCATCGCACGTCTGGCTACTGCCATCGATAGATCGCTTGGCGCTTTTGGTAACGCTAGTCTATCTTATCGCTGCTACCACACACTCGCAAGCCATACCACAACGGTTCCAAGTGGCCGTTGGCCTGGCGGCTAGAGTGTAACTTCGACTACACTCAATCTTTACATTTGGAACCCATGGTACTGTGCATGTTTCAATGGCATTTGCTGACCTCTTTTGACTCTTACTTCTTTTCGGCCCGTGACATGAAGACGTCTCACTTCTCGAGAACCGAGAACAATTAGCATTCCAGTCTCCTCTCAAACGTTTCTGTTCTCTGGTACTTCAATTGATCGGAAGAATCTGTTGTTTTCTGTTCATTTTCTTCCGAAAAACGTGGTTACGCTACACCGACACGACCTGTGTAGTCGGTGACTTTCACATGTCAACCCCACTCCACCATTCACACACCGGGAAGTGGATCACGGAAGATAAAGAGCGGAGGATCGCCCCTAAAGCCCGTTCGTACGCAGTATCGGGCCCTTCTGATCGATCTTGGAACTCGCAACCTTAATCTTAGCGCAAACTAGCATGCCACAGGGCAGATTTGGACAATTTCTGCCTGTGGCCAAATTGCCGTTGTGGGCGGTCGTCATATCCGGTGCACTCGAGAAGATCCCGTACTGGAAACCGGTCTTCAAAACTTCGGGATTTTAAAAAAGGCTGTCACATGTAGCCGAGGTATTTGTTTCATCATGGGCATTACACCATTGGGGTGGAGCAATGCCCTCTTCACTGCCAAGAGGAAACACAGCATCACCCTCACCGAGCCCTTTACACCTCAACGCTCAGGATCAGTAGACGATAAGTAATGGGAGTCGACACGAACGTCCATCTTCTTTGTTATGCCTTGATGTAACGGCCAATTGGAAGGCCCGTCCGCGCTGGCTGCACTGCTCTGGCTGGGGCCCCTCTCTACGCCCTTCGTGGAGATGATGCGCTTCTCATCACTCTTTCGTCCATCTTCTGATGCACCCCGATATGCCAGGGAAGTCATCTTGTATGACTTTATATCCGGCCACGTATAGATATCGTTCATCTCGCGCCCACACGTGTGCTCGTCGTCCACCGCATCGTCGAGCCTAAAGTGTTTCTGTGTCTCTCGCTTAGACATTCTAATGGCAGGTCCTACAGTACCGCTGGTTCCAGGCCCATAGCCGTATTTGACTTTCGGAATCGTTCCCAACACGGACAGGAAACAGCGCTTCACCACTTGTTTTAACACGAGTAGACATGCGCAGATAATGCCCAAGTTCGCTTCGATCATGGTCCAGATGCCTCGCTCGATGAAATTCCATGTCAGATCTTGTTGATTGCGTACGCTATTGGCCACAGCCGTGACGCGTAGGATAGATGTTATTGTGACACTAACGAGGCTGTTAGCAGACGCACAGCATATGCTGTTAACGCAATCGACATATATGGCAATACGGGAAAGACTTACAAACTGCCTAATAAGAACACACTGTGCAGCATAATCTTTTCTTGAAGTTTCAGCTGGAGCTTGGAGACCTCGCGGATAGGCAGTGCCAATACGATCACATCTGTGAAGATATTCAGCACCGCATTGGCCAGCCAGAATTTCGAGCTGTCGATGCAAGTTCCCTCGACATTTTTATCCCAAGACCGCTGTAGTGGCATACACTGGAAAATTGTCGCGAAAACCGTCGCGATCCCTGAGCCAACAACAATCGCGAGCGCGCCACAGCACAGCCATCGAAAGTGAGGCGAGATGAAGATACGCATGTACAATAATATAGCGGATACTTTATTCAAACAAACCACGATCTTGTAAGGCGTCTGCGCAACCCAGAAGAACTTGAGGCATGTATGCAGTTCTTCGGTCGAAAGGTCAACCTTATGCTGTCCATAGCCATGGACTACGGACAACTGAATGGTGATGGACAATAAAATGGAGAACATCTGAGGCATGTCAACCGAAATCTCTTTTGTGAATTTGTGCGCTCGACTCACCAAGGACGCTATGATGGTATAATCGTCAGATTGTAACTTCACACCGATCCGGAGTCGTACCACGATCCTGGCAATAACGATAAGTCCAGCGGCAATGATCATGACCAGAGATGTCAAGTAAAGCTTCCATCCTTGATTGTCTTCATCTTTCGACGGAAACCCCATGGTGGAAAACATCGTTCAGAAGTCTGGTGTCGCTCAAGTTGAGTATGCTGTTCAAGAAGCATTGCTATGTCAATGTCCCCAGTGGAGAAACATCATCCGAGCGCCTACTTTCCATGCTTCCGTTTGCCACCATGCTTCTTGTCTTGCAGAGCCCAGATAACTTGTTTCATGTCGTTATTTCCGCGGTTACAATTTCACTGGCTGTTGCAGCATAGCATGCGGCTCATACATGGGGCGTTCGTGGTGGTCTTCGGGACATGCTAACCAAATGGTGTTGGTGTACCCCCATGGATACATGTAAGCGACAATCCTTCACACATTGGCCTTCCATTCGCGGAAAAGCGCCAAGGGAGCTGCCGTGCGGTATGTTATACGACCCGTTCTCAAAGACGGGTCGGAACATTGCCCCATCAAAGGAATATCTAGATAATTCCCGCATGGCTCTAATTTACAGTGAGATTGCAGCGAGCATTCCCGTCGTCTCTTAGATTGTCATAGTGTATGGACTGGGCGAATATCAGCCTCCATTCATACATTTCGGTCAAGTCTCATTCTTTCTGCACCACAGCGCCATTTCAAGATGCATAGTCTCGCGGCGCTACCGTTATGGCTCTGCGCGGCCGGATTATCCCTGGCCGTACCGAACACATCTTCCTTCGAGAACGTCGAGACAGAGAACGGACGTATCACAGGCCATCGCTCGCTTGAGGCAAACGAGGTCTGGGAATACTTGGGTATCCCGTATGCACAACCGCCGCTCGGAGCATTGCGATTCGCTGCACCCCAGAAGTACAAGGGCAATGGAACCTACATTGCAGCCAATTTCGTAAGTACCTAGCAGGAATTACCATTGTATCGAGCAAGGGCGGCTGACAATTGACACAGGGATAGTAGGTGCTTCATGTAGTAATCTTGTTTATCATTGAGCTGACGATACGCGCACAGCGACTGCCCGCAAATAGCTGCCACCCAGCCTGCATTTCCTGGTTTCACTGATCAAGCCTTGACTATACTCAGTGCCGGTACGGAACAGTATGCTCTGAACTACAGACTGAGCTAACATTCTGCAGTATGTGACCATACATCCCACGAATCTACGATAAAATACTTACTCTGTACCGCATTTTTAGTTTACCGCTGGTGCAGGGACACTTCGAAGTGAGGACTGTCTCACTTTGAACATATGGTCAAAGCCAACATTAAAATCGGTCAAGGCGAAGAAGCCTGTTTTCGTTCTATTCCATGGAGGACGTAAGTCATCTACCACCCGCTAGTATGCTCACGTTCACTTGCTCATTCTACAGGTTTTGCTGGCGGTAACACCAACACACCATTCGCTAATGGCCAATACCTCGCTAACAACGAAGATATCATTGTTGTCTCCGTCAACTATCGACTGAACGTTTTCGGTTTCCCTGGAGCACCAAACGCAGATACTAACCTTGGACTGCGTGACCAACGTCTGGCGGTGGAATGGCTCCAAAAGAACGTTGCAGCATTTGGCGGAGATGCAAAGAAGATTGTTATCGCTGGCCAATCTTCTGGCGGTGCAGCTGTCGACTGGTGGTCTTATGCTTATCAAGAGGATCCTATCGTCCATGGTCTCATGTCCACATCGGGCAACACGTTCAGCTTCCCTATGAACTCGCCAGAGCGACAAAGGTCTAATTGGGACAACATCACTTCTCTAGTAGGCTGCGGTTCCTCAAATGACACAATGGCCTGCATGCGCAGCCAACCCTGGGAGACGCTGTCAAAAGCCGTAACCAAGATTGCTCCCAGTCCAGGTGGCAGTCCAGTCCGCTCGACGCCACCGTTCTACCCTCTGGTTGACAACGAGACGGTTTTCGCTGACTACATTTCTCGCTCGGCATCTGGCGACTTCGCCAAGTTACCTTATTTCCATGGCCATAATGATCACGAGCAGGGCTACTACGTCATACCGGCTTTTGCTCAAGGTCGAAATGTTACGGAGCAGCAAGCCAGTCAATTTCTCCTAGAGTCTTTCGTTTGTCCCGTCTCCTACGAAGCTAGAGCACGTGTCGATGCTGGTGTTCCCACGTGGGTTTACCGGTACTATGGTGACTGGAACAACACACGTCTATACCCTACATCCGGTGCATACCACGGAACAGAGCTACACATGATCCTAGGGGGCTCTGCAGATGCCAGTGGTCTTCCTGAAACGCAGGTTCAGAAAGATACTGTCAGACTTGTGCAGCGCGCTGTTGCAGCGTTCACTGAGGATCCGAAGGAAGGGCTGACGAAATTGGGTTGGCCGGTTTTTGACCCAGAAAAGAAGAGCTGGGGCGAGATTGCCGTGGATAATAAAGCTAAGGTGACATTTGCGAAGCCCGAGAAGTACGACGCGCATTGTGGTAACATCACTCTTGGGGCTTTGCAAGGTATGTCGTAGACAGTAGAAAGGGCTGGTTAGTGGGTTCGACCAGGCCGAGTGGTTGCTGTATGTAATTTCTCCCAATATGTATATATCAACAATTAGCGAGCTGCTACGACATCCGAAGCCTGCTCAGGTGCCTTTCATGATGAGTGAAAGGGGGCACCCAAAGTGGCAGCATCGGTCGTGGGGGGGGGGGGGGCATGGTATTTCTTCCTTCTTCACCTAGTGACGCCTCTGTTGTATTACATATTCAGTCATGATCCCAGTGGCACAATCAGGCCTGCATGGACGGAATGACTAGATTGATGACCAGGAAATATAATATAGCATCCCACGCTCCGAGGCTACCTAGTATGCAACTTCTTCCAGGTCAGATATGCCGCCAAAGCCACAACACTTATCCGACCAACTAGTGCCGTAGCCACAGCTCTCCTGACTAACGGATAATACCCTTCTAGCATTGAATTGACCGCAGCTCCTCGAGCCATCATCTTCGCTCTCCCACTCTGTCCCCAACCTCTGCCAACGCCCAAGCCAGCTATACCGACCTCGCCTGGCTTCTCTTCTTCAAGAGAACCGACCGCCTCACTGCCAATCCCAGGGAAGTCTTGCGTAGGCAACTCGGTAGTGTCTTGAGACGTCGTTGTTATACTAGACACAGCCGTGCTCATCTCCAGAGACTTCTGCTTGCGGAAACGATAAGACATTGCCCACATCACGAATCTCACATCCCAGTTGGTGAAAGTAGGGTACGTCCATAGTTCCAGGGCATTATGCGGTGGCATGTGCTCGAGGAAGTCGCTCACAACACCTAGTGTCAATCCCCATAGCAGCAAAGGTGGCCTACGATCCTTTGATCTCCCTTCAGCGCCCGCCAATGCCTCTCTAATAGTATTAACCACACCGTGTGGCGCTGCTTCCACGGGTATAAAGTCTGGGATGGTTGCGCAGTGCGTCGAGTTTGCTGGCACGAGTTGTATGGCAGCAAACATCATCTTGCTCAACATGGCTTGTAAGAACCAGCGCTTGATGCCCAATTCAGACTTTGCCAAACGCGCCGAGACATCGGCATATTCGTGTGTACGGAGGGCTGGGCTAAGAAGCGCGCGAATGGGTACCCAGTGTGAGGAGGCTACTTCGGTAGGCTGCAGACGTTGCTGTGGATAGGCTGGGGAGGTGAGGAGGTAGATGTAGGGGCATAATACCATGAGTCTGCTTGTGGTCAGCCTGAGTCCTTGCAATGGTACTTTTCATGTCCCAGGACATGGATCTCGTATCCGTTGAATGTGAAGACGTACGGTACTTTACCCCAGCTCGTCGTGACAATCCGCTGGGGTAGATTGCCGACTGCAATAGCATTTTCGGGGCTCAAATCAATCCCGACTTCTTCTAAGGCTTCTCTCGCAGCTGCAGCCTGATCGTCCTCGTCCTCTGGGTCTCTTTTTCCACCTGGTAGCGCGACATGTCCGTTCCATTTGTCGCCCACTCGTGTAGCTCGTTTGATGAACAATAGCTCTGGGTCCCCATGCTTCACCCATTCTTGTGAAAAGAAGTTGCTTAATGAGGCCTCGAAGTCGAACTCGGCATTGGGTTGTGCGACAGAGGAGCGTCTGCGTCGAGCTGGTAAGGGACTGTCGTCACTGTCGGGCCAATGCGAATAACTTGGCTGAATGCGCAGTATGAGCGCCACCGAAGCGCGTTTCGGTAGGTTTGGCGGACACGCGACATCTGGATAGGGGTTCGCGTTGAGCTCGAGGAGAACGGATTGCAGATGACTAGCGAGGTCTTCGGTATTGGTGTGTGCCGTCATGGTTTATACAGAGGCTCAGTGCGCTGACTATGCGATGCGATGCGATGTCGGTGATGACGGACGAGAGGCCCACGGCACGTTGTGAGAGGTGAGTTGTCGCGGGTGCTGTGTTGCATACAAATGACACAAAAAAGAAACGCGTGTGTTTGCGACGACGTCTGAGCACTAGACGATGTGATTATTCAGAGGCACATGGTCAGTAATATCGCTGTCGCAACGGAGGACCGAGGCGCGAGAAGTGTCATGACTATAGCGATTGGCTACATGGCTAACCGCCACGTTGGGGAGCTGAGAATTGGTGAGACCATTTCAGAGTCGGAACAGAACACGAGTTCGAGGAGACAAGCAACCCATATCGGAAGTAACGTGTATACCAGGCGGACAATAAGTGAAGCCGCTTCCTCGCCGTCGCAATCACATAGCGGAGACAAGCTTGGGCCAATCGGGTGTTCGCCATGGAGGGGCAGGCAAATGAGGTCACCCGTGAGCCCCGCGATGCCAAAAAAATCTCCACATGTGTCGTGCGCCATTGCTTTATACCCCAGGTCACTGTCTTGATTGACTGTTTCTTCTCAATTGACTTCTGAAATTCAAAAACATTAGTCAAAATGGCAGGCCAAAAGACAGGTAAGCAAATATTTGAAGAGACTTGCAGTCTACTCCTAATCGTTTGCGACAGCGATTCTGTCAGTCTACGACAAGACCGGTCTTCTTGATCTGGCCAAGGGACTCCATGAATGTGGTGTCCGACTACTCGCCTCAGGCGGTACGGCCAAGATGATCCGCCAGGCCAACTTCCCTGTTGAAGATGTCTCTGCCATTACCAAGGCGCCTGAGATGCTCGGTGGACGCGTCAAGACTCTTCACCCCGCCGTTCACGGAGGCATTCTCGCGCGCAACCTCGACTCAGACGACTCAGACCTCTCCGCCAACAGCATCGACAAGATCGATTTCGTCGTATGCAACCTGTACCCCTTCTCCGAGACCGTCGCGCGTATCAACGTTACAATTCCCGAGGCCGTTGAGGAGATCGATATCGGAGGTGTGACTCTGCTCAGGGCCGCCGCGAAGAACCACGCGCGCGTCACCATCATTAGCGACCCAAATGACTACCATGACCTTCTCACCGAGCTCAAGAAAGATGGCGAGGTCTCTGAGAACAGCAGGCAACGTTACGCGCTGAAGGCTTTCGAGCAGACTTCATCATACGACACTGCCATCTCCGAGTTCTTCAGGAAGAAGTACGCAGGTGACGGCGATCAGTTCCTCACCCTCCGATACGGCGCCAACCCCCACCAAAAACCAGCGACAGTATCCATGCCAGAGAAATCTCTGCCCTTCAAGGTGCTCTGCGGTTCACCAGGATACATCAATCTGCTTGATGCACTCAACGCATGGCCCCTGGTTCAGGAACTGACCAAGGCGCTCAACTACCCAGCTGCGGCCAGCTTCAAGCACGTCTCGCCTGCTGGTGCGGCTATCGGTGTCCCTCTCAGCGAGGTGGAGCGCAAGGTATACATGGTCGACGACATTGAGGGCATTGAGAAGTCCGGTTTGGCACAAGCATACGCCAGGGCGCGTGGTGCCGACAGGATGTCAAGTTTCGGTGACATGATTGCTCTGTCAGCCGAGGTTGATGTCCAGACCGCAAAGATTATCAGCCGTGAAGTCTCCGACGGTGTCATCGCACCTGGCTACAGTGCTGAAGCTTTGGAGATCCTTAGCAAGAAGAAGGGCGGAAAGTACCTGGTTCTCCAGATGGACCCTGAATACGTTCCAGGCCCTGAGGAGACCAGGACTGTCTTCGGCATCACGCTCAAGCAGCACCGTAACGACGCCAAGATCGTTCCTTCCGATACCTTCAACACTGTCATTGTGCCCAAGAATTCTGGAGCTCTGCCCGAGTCGGCTCAGCGAGACTTGACTGTTGCCACCATTGCGCTCAAGTACACCCAGTCTAACAGTGTCTGCTACGCGCTCAACGGCCAGGTCATTGGCCTTGGAGCTGGTCAGCAATGTAAGTACGACCAATCTTGCTTGATGCATAATTACTGATATCTGTACAGCACGCATCCACTGCACTCGCCTGGCTGGTGACAAGGCTGACAACTGGTGGATGCGTTTCCACTCGAAGACGCTGAACCTCAAGTTCAAGAAGGGCACCAAGCGCCCCTCGAAATCCAACGCCATCGATCTCCTGTGTTCTGGCCTTGTCCCTGAGGCGGGCATCGAGCGCGATGACTTCGAGGCCAATTTCGAAGAGGTACCCCAGCCATTCACCGCGGATGAGCGCAAGGAGTGGCTCTCGAAGATGGAGAGCGTCGCTGTCAGCTCGGATGCGTTCTTCCCATTCATCGACAACGTCTTCAGGGCGCACAGGAGCGGTGTCAAGTACATTGCTGCGCCCACTGGAAGTCAGAACGACGGCGCAGTATTCGAGACAGCCGAGAAGTTGGGCATGACCTTTGTTGAGCAGCACATCCGGTTGTTCCACCACTAAGAGACTGATGACGAGGAAGTTTGGGAAATGATACCTGGCGATGACATTGACGTGCAATGAACTGGCTACATGAAAAGTCTTGATGAGACGAGACGAGATTACGATACCTTCAAAATGTGGATACTTCAACATTCCAACTTGGCGATTTTCCAGTCTTGTGCTGCAATGTCAAATGCATATCCTTCGTTTGTGTTCAGATGCCATCAACAACAGTAAAACATGACAGCGAATGGGTGTTCAAAGAGCGCAGATGTTGATGGTCGAGACCACGCGCGCTAATGTTTGCTATTTGCTGTAAGAAGCAGGGGTTGGCCAGGGGATCGCCAGACTAAACCCCTTGCAGCAAGCCGCAACGGAAGGAATAGATGGACAGCGCTTCACCTCGACTTGTTGCTCTACACCGCTGCCACAAACAACAACTTACCAATCTCTCAATCGCACCCGAACCTACTACCCCTCGCTACCGCGACTCACAAGACTCTTACACAAACAACCACCATCTCGAACATGTCAGCTCAACCAGAGAACCAACAGATGGAGGGCGTCCAGGACCCCGCTACCGACGTCAAGGGCAAAGGCAAGGCTCAAGAGGGCGAGACTGTCGAGGAGTCCATGGACGACGACTCCAGCGACGAGTCTGGTGCTGAGGATCTGGTATGTTCATCGCGCCTCACCGCTACAACTCTATGCGCAAGTAGCTAACACAATCGCATCTAGGCCGGCGAACGTAAGCTATTCCGCGAAAACCTTGCGATTGAGCTTTCGGACTGACAGTAGAATAGCCGAGGAGCCTGATGAGGATAACATGGAGGAGATTGACACGTCCAATGTCCTGCAAAGCCGCACGCGCGGTAAGAACATCGACTTTGCCAAGGCCAACCAGGAGCTCGGCGACGAGGACGAAGAGGATGATGACGAGGACTTTGTCGACCCCGATGACCAAATGAAGGACTAGAGTGGAGTTGCATCGTCAACTTCCGTCTTTCGGTACGTTTGCAGCCAAGCCAAGAAGAGCCCTTTGTCTTCGATGAACCCCGCTAAGCGAATCGCTTTGTTACAGGACTACTTCGGCGCGTTCGACCAAATCTTTGCGAGCTCCGTATTCTGGCTAGGGTTATGATATACGCACAAAAGGCATTTGGGTAGCGGGGAAAAGACTCTTACCGACGTTGGAGTCGCGGCGCGACTTTTCGCGATTGAGGTACCTGGACATGGAGCTATGTGCACGTTGATGTGTAACATGGACTGTGGACTGAATACTTCGCGCATACACAGCACTGGCATGCGTTATGAATGAAAACAAGAATACCCATACTTTTGACCTGACGTGCATGCATCTACGACGTGAACATGGCATATGTTATGCAGAAGGACAAAGAATTCCCCAGCAGACATCATGCTAATCGTATTGTTGGCCTGCATAGCTTCGTCCGCCGAAACGTAAAATCGCAAAAGAAGAATAAAAGCACCCAGACATCTCAGCACACACCTACCCCGCCTTTCCCTGAAGATCTCGTATTCCTTCCACGAGCATGCAGGGTGACCGATGCGATGACACGAAAACAACACGTCGGTACGAAGGTATCCCACCCACTTGTATCATGAATTTAGGGTCCAATCAACTAGCCAATTGCAGTGTGCATGCAATACAAGATCTGTGATACTCTCTTGCGGACATCGGAGCCTGGAAACTGTAGAACAAGAAGAGAGTATTGAGTTGATTGTTCTATGTACGAAGGAGAAATCCCTTGTTTATATAGGGACGAGAGAGTACGCTAGTGAGTGAATGTGAGTGAATCACGTGAGAGGATGCAAACCAACAGAAACTACCGAAGATTGCTAGATTGAAAGTGGTGTAGGTGACGTGCGAGGCAGATCCTCGGGAAATTTACGTGATACTGGACGGACGTGATTGTAGTGGTGCTTGCCGTTACTAAAAACAATAAGCAACGTGGTAAGATGGGTAGTGATACATAGGAACCGATCAGATATCCAGAATAGTGCCTCAATTGAGGACGAGAGGAAATGGAAAGAGAAGCGAGAGTTCAGGGATTGTAATTGATCAAGTTAGGATGTGGTGGATGTAACGTCTACAACGTCCTGCACCGAAACCATCCTATCGGCGCCGACATCCAGCGAGATGACCCCATCTCAGACGGGCAAAAATGCTGTTTCTCTAGATTGTTCGGTGGGGCGTGTCAAGCAGAAAGGCCGAGTTACAATCACGGGCGAGGTAAATGGTGAGTACGATCCCCTAGAAGAGCCAGACTACCTACAGATAGATGTAAGGTCGCTGGAACAACGTCTGGTTGCGTCACGAGACCAGCGATCTCAGGATGATCTTCCTTGTTACGGACATGCCTTGTCGCAAGGTTCCATTGCCCAGATCCCCATGGCACCGCATCGAGACCCTAAAAATTGATCCACGTAACACTTTGTATATCTTACTATAGTAATTCCGGGAAATGCTCGTTGCCTCCCACTCTTGCCATTGATGACCCAACGCGGAATGTATTAGGTACACGAATCCTACGGAAATTTTTGTTGCATGCATACCGGATTGGATCGCTAGCTCAGGGTCTTGAAGCGCACTGCCTGGAGTATCCGCCGCGGACTTTGCACAGCCAGCGAACAGCAAAAGAGGCGACATCGGCCTGACCAGTAATCCTTAGAAACGGGCTCGGCTGGACTGGCTACGCGACACGGATTTGCGTGGATTTGCCTGTTCTCGTGACTCGTCTCCCGCTACGTACTGCCGTCAGCTAAGCAGGAGCGTTCCGGTCTTCTCCGAAGCATGATGAGGACATTGATGTATTGTCGCCTGCCGTGGCGTGGCGGGTCGCTAGAATCGCCCAATGCTCGAGGGTGAGCTGTGCGGGAGGCAGATGAATTGGTTTTTGAGTTTGCGGCTAAGCAGAGGATAATCACTGCAAGTCCGGGTCCGCGATGATGTCGACGAGTGCGCACCTGGGAAGCCTCAGCGACGCTCCGCTGCGAAATGGCGGGGTTATATGATCTCCCGTCCAGTGAGCGTCAACACGTAGTATTCCGTAGCGCGACAGTCCGCCCTGGGCCGCGCTTGGAGAGAGATAAGGCCTGAGATGACCCTCTCAAATTACGACAAAGAAGTCGTGTGTTGCCGAGGCGAGGCCGCCGGGCCAATTGCAGACGTCGCTATTCAGATGATGCGGCGTGGGCTGCAGCGGCAATCTAGCCGGTGGAGCTATGGTAGAGCGGAAACACATGCAAGACCTGGTCATCAGATGTCAAACCGACCTTCGGAGCCCAGGATAGGGTGCACGGCCGGACTGCTGCAGGGCGGTCACGGCCAAACAGCCAATAATGCCCCGGCCTTTGGTCATGGAGTGGCAGAAAAACCGTGGGGTAGGCCAATTTTCCATGCGCAACACGCCGCAGAGGCAGTGATGCTTCGCATACGCATACGAGCATTGGTAGCAACACATGTAGAAAAACATCACAAGAGCAATTCAATGTAGAGCGAGCGCGGCTGTACATCGACGGACTCTCAATCGTCATGTTTCGTCCGGAGAGACGGCGCGTCAGGTGCCACTCCAACATGCCCAACTTGATATACGTGGAAATAAAGTACCAAGACCACCTCCAAGACCGGGCAGTTCCCAGTTCGCAGCGGTAGACAAGCGGAGATGGCCTAACTGACAGCACGAACGCCTCCGTCGACGCGCTTCCAGACCGGTAATTGGACAGAGGTGAAGTCAAGTTGTTAGCGTATAGGGAAAATAATCCACCCCACCAGGAGCCATCCGCTCTCTTATTCATAAGCACGCCCGCGAAACCTCCCGCGACCCTCTGTTTCTTCTTGCACTCTCGACACAATCGCTACAAGCTGCTTGCAGGAACATCGCGAGCCCAACACAAGGCCTGTTCCACCAGCCCTTCTAGCAAGTAAGTAGCCCTGCCTCCCACATGTACACCCGCTGCACCCATCCACCGCCCGTGGCCAAACATTGTGCTTCTCCACCACCCGTCCTGCGTGAGAGGCATCAGCCACTTTCCTACTGGTCTGCGCCTGCAACCCCGCGTTGTCCTATTCGTTGCTTGCCTTATCTGCCGATTTTGTGCTTCGAGTAGCTATCAGTCGCCGCTGGAGATGGGGGGAGAACGTCATAGCCATCAATCGCCTATATCCGGCCGGGTGAAGCTGGTGACGAATCCAGCCCATCTTTCTGTTGGCTTTGGGCGTGATTGACACCGGCGAATCCATCCTCCCACCAACTGCTCCCCACCCACATTCTTTGCTTTTGAGCTAGAGCCCTAGGCGCATCCGTACCAAATTATCATCGACACTCGACCCATGGCCCGCATTCAGCGACAAACTCTTTACCAGACCTGAAAACTAATATCTGCCTCCAGACTTGATCCGAATACCAGAGCAACAGCTCCCAAGTTCACGCCTCGAGCGACCCCGCCACTCCCCCATATCGATACCGCAACCCCACCACCACCACCAACGAACCCAGAACTTCGGCCTTTCGCCGATATAATGGGTCGGGTCTCGTTCGCCGAAGATACAAAGTTGCCCCAGGAACCCCAGATCGAAGAGGAGCAAAGCTCGGTATTTGCTTATCAAGATGGCCCCGAGAACAAGTCTTGGGCAGGCGCACTGCCCTTGAAGCAGGGTCTGTATGACCCGGAGCTCGAGAAGGATGCTTGCGGTGTCGGTTTCGCTGCGTGAGTCATGGCAATTGGTTTGTGTGGGAGATGCGAGGGCTGACAATGGCGTAGTCACATCAAGGGCAAGGCCAGCCACAAGATCGTCTCCGATGGTAAGAGCGAACAACTCAAGGAATGAGTAGACGAGAATGCTAACGGACATGCAGCCCGTTCGTTGCTATGCAACATGACACATCGAGGAGCCGTTGGCTCTGACGCACGCGATGGTGACGGTGCCGGTGTAATGACCTCCATCCCCCATCGCTTTTTCCTCAAGGAGTTCGAGCGCGAGCAAGGCTACAAGCTACCATCGCTTGGCCAGTATGCCACTGGTAACCTTTTCTTCAAGCCGGACGCCAACATCTTGGATGAGACCAAGACCATGTTTGAGGACGTTGCAGACCAGCTTGACTTGAGGGTGCTCGGATGGCGAACAGTGCCCCGCGATTCCACACTTCTTGGACCCGCGGCACTTTCACGAGAGCCCATCATTCTCCAGCCGTTTGTCGTTTTGAAGTCCGCCTACGGCGACGCCCGTGAGCCCAAGGCTGACTTCCAAGAGAAGTATGACAACGCATACTTTGAGCGACAACTGTATGTCATGCGAAAGCGGGCTACACACGTCATTGGCCTCCACAACTGGTTCTACATTTGCAGCTTGTCAAACAAGAACATTGTCTACAAGGGTCAACTTTCTCCTGTTCAGGTCTACGAGTACTACCACGACCTGCTCAACGTTGACTACGAGGGTCACTTTGCTCTGGTGCACTCTCGATTCTCTACCAACACATTCCCCAGCTGGGACCGTGCTCAGCCTCTGCGATGGGCTGCTCACAATGGTGAGATCAACACCCTGCGAGGAAACAAGAACTGGATGAGGGCCCGCGAGGGTGTTATGAAGTCCAGCCTTTTCGGCGAGGAGCTTGATCTCCTTTACCCCATCGTCGAGGACGGTGGTTCCGACTCTGCAGCTTTCGACAATGTCCTTGAGCTGCTCACCATCAACGGTGTTCTGTCACTCCCAGAAGCAGTCATGCTTATGGTTCCAGAGGCATGGCAGGGCAACCACACTATGGACCCCGCTAAGCAAGCCTTCTACGAGTGGGCTGCCTGCATGATGGAGCCTTGGGATGGCCCTGCTCTCTTTACTTTCTCTGACGGACGATACTGTGGTGCTAACCTCGACCGAAACGGTCTTCGTCCTTGCCGTTACTACGTTACTGATGACGACCGCATCATCTGCGCGTCTGAAGTTGGTACCATCTCTATCGAGCCAGAGCGCGTTGTACAGAAGGGTCGTCTCCAGCCCGGTAGGATGTTGCTCGTCGACACTGTCGCTGGCCGAATTGTCGATGATGCCGAACTGAAGCAGACCGTCTCAGAGCGTGTTGACTTCCGCTCCTGGATTCAGAAGAACCTGCTCACTCTTCCCAAGATTGTTGAGCAGATCAGCGCAAAGGGCGTTGATCTTTCACACTCGCTCACCGAAACCAAGCTACATGAGGACCCTCGTCTGCGAGCATTTGGCTACTCTCTTGAGCAGGTCAGTCTCCTTCTTGGTCCTATGGCTGCCGACTCAAAGGAAGCTCTTGGATCTATGGGCAACGATGCTCCTCTGGCTTGCCTGGCTACCCAGCCTCGTCTGCTGTACGAGTACTTCCGTCAGCTTTTCGCCCAGGTTACCAACCCTCCCATCGATCCTATACGTGAGGCGATTGTCATGTCTTTGGAGACATACGTTGGTCCCCAGGGTAACCTTCTAGAGATGGACGAGTCACAGTGTGGCCGTCTGCTTCTTCCATCGCCCATCCTGACCCTCGAAGAGTTCAAGGCCCTAACCAACACGCATACTCTGCACTCTGACTGGACCGTCAAGTCCATTGACATCACATTCCCCAAGAGCGAGGGACTCGATGGCTACATGAACGCTCTGGACCGAATCTGCGAGGCTGCCACCGAGGGTATCAAGGCCGGCGACAACATCCTTGTCTTGACTGACCGCGCTGCTTCTGTTGACCGTGTTGCCGTATCCGCTTGCTTGGCTACTGGTATGGTTCACCACCATCTCGTCCGCAACAAGTGGCGATCCAACGCTGCTCTTGTTGTCGAGACTGGTGAGGCCCGTGAGGTCCACCACATGTGTGTCTTGGTTGGATACGGTGCTGATGCCGTATGCCCATACCTTGCTATTGAGTGTATCCTGAAGATGCACCGCGAGGGTGTCATTCGCAAGAAGATCAGCCCCGAACAGCTCATCGACAACTACAAGCACTCTTGCGATGGTGGTATCTTGAAGGTCATGAGTAAGATGGGTATCTCTACCCTCTCATCCTACAAGGGTGCTCAGATTTTCGAGGTTCTTGGTCTCGATGACTCTGTCGTTGACCGATGCTTCACTGGAACTGCTTCCCGTATCAAGGGTATGACATTCGAGTTGATCGCTTCCGATGCTTTCGCTCTCCACGAGCGGGGTTACCCATCGCGCGCCATCGTTGAGGTTCCTGGTCTTGCTGAGACTGGTGAGTACCATTGGCGTGACGGAGGTGAGCCTCACGTCAACGACCCCACTGCCATGGCCAACATCCAGGATGCCGTCCGCACCAAGAACGACAAGTCGTACGAGGCATACTCTATTGCTGAGTATGAGCGCATCAAGGACTGCACCCTCCGTGGTCTCCTTGACTTCAACTTCGATGACCGTGCTCCCATCCCCATCGACCAGGTCGAGCCTTGGACCGACATTGTGCGCCGCTTCGTTACTGGTGCCATGTCCTACGGATCCATCTCCATGGAGTCCCACTCTACCCTTGCTGTTGCTATGAACCGCCTTGGCGGTAAGTCCAACACTGGTGAGGGTGGTGAGGACCCGGAGCGCAGCTTGCGTATGGAGAACGGTGACACCATGCGCTCTGCGATCAAGCAGATCGCTTCCGGACGTTTCGGTGTTACCTCCAACTACCTTGCCGATGCCGACGAGCTCCAGATCAAGATGGCTCAGGGTGCTAAGCCTGGTGAGGGTGGTGAGCTTCCTGGCCACAAGGTCTCTGGCTCCATTGCTAAGACCCGTCACTCCACGCCTGGTGTCGGTCTCATCAGTCCTCCTCCCCACCACGACATCTACTCCATTGAGGATCTCAAGCAATTGATCTACGATCTCAAGTGCTCCAACCCACGCGCTCGTGTATCCGTGAAGCTCGTCTCCGAGACTGGTGTTGGTATCGTCGCTTCTGGTGTGGCCAAAGCCAAGGCCGACCATATCCTCATCTCTGGTCACGACGGTGGTACTGGTGCCTCTCGATGGACTGGTATCAAGTACGCCGGTCTTCCCTGGGAGCTGGGTCTTGCCGAGACTCATCAGACTCTTGTTCTCAACGACCTCCGTGGTCGTGTCATCGTCCAGACTGACGGTCAATTGAGGACTGGACGTGATGTCGCCATCGCCTGTCTGCTTGGAGCTGAAGAGTGGGGCTTTGCTACCACGCCTCTCATCGCCATGGGTTGCATCATGATGCGCAAGGTAAATATCTTCCTCGTGATATATCTTGAAAGAAACTATTTACTAACCACCACTAGTGCCATCTTAACACTTGCCCTGTCGGTATTGCCACCCAGGACCCTGAGCTCAGGAAGAAGTTCGCTGGTACACCTGAGCACGTCATCAACTTCTTCTACTACATCGCCAATGAGCTCCGTGCAATCATGGCCAAGCTTGGTTTCCGGACCATCAACGACATGGTTGGTCACTGTGAGGTGCTACGCATCCGCGACGATCTCCGCACTGCGAAGACTGAGAACATTGACTTGTCTCTCATCCTGACTCCCGCGCACACCCTTCGCCCAGGTGTTGCCACGTTCAACGTGCGCAAGCAGGACCACCGTCTTCATGTCCGCCTCGACAACAAGCTCATTGCTGAGTCCGAACTTGCTCTGGAGAAGGGTCTTCCTGCCCGCATTGAGTGCGATGTCGTCAACACTGACCGTGCTCTTGGTGCTACTCTCTCGTACCACATCAGCAAGCGCTACGGCGAGGCTGGTCTGCCCCAAGACACCATCCACGTCAACATCCGTGGTTCTGCTGGCCAGTCTTTCGGTGCTTACTTGGCACCTGGTGTCACTCTTGAACTTGAGGGTGATGCTAATGACTACGTTGGTAAGGGTCTGTCTGGTGGACGTTTGATCATCTACCCTCCCCGCAACGCCGTATACCGTGCCGAGGAGAACGTTCTTATTGGTAACGTCTGCTTGTACGGTGCCACTCGCGGTACTTGCTTCTTCCGTGGTATCGCTGCTGAGCGGTTCTGTGTCCGTAACTCTGGTGCTACGGCTGTTGTTGAAGGTGTTGGTGACCACGGTTGCGAGTACATGACTGGCGGTCGTGTCCTTGTTCTTGGTTCCACTGGACGTAACTTTGCTGCCGGTATGTCTGGTGGTATTGCCTACGTCCTTGACATCCACAAGGACTTCGAACAGAAGGTTAACCAGGAGATGGTTGAGCTTTCCGGCATCGAGGAGCCAGAGGAGATTGCCTTTGTTCGCGGCCTCATTGAGGACCACCACCATTACACCGGCTCCGAGCTTGCCGCTCGCATCCTCCTCGACTTCACCCGCGCACTGCCCCGCTTTGTCAAGGTCATGCCTGTTGACTACAAGCGCGTGCTCCTGGAGGAGAAGGCAAAGGCTGCCGAGAAGAAGAAGTCTGAATACCCTCTTCCTCTGCTCGCTGGCAATGCTGTCCGCAACGCCCACGAGGAGTCTCGCAACAAGGAAGCTGAGACGGAGGCTAAGGAGAAGAAGAAGAGCGATCTCCTCGACATTGAAGAGAGTGTTACCGACGCAAAGGCTGAGAAGAAGAAGGCGCTCGTCCTTGACAAGACTCGCGGTTTCATGAAGTACCAGCGTCGCTCTGAGAAGTACCGCAACCCCAAGACCCGTACTCGCGATTGGGCAGAGCTCAACCAGCGTCTCAACGAGGACGAACTCAAGTACCAGACTGCTCGCTGCATGGACTGTGGTGTACCCTTCTGCCAGTCTGACACTGGTTGCCCGATCTCCAACATCATCCCGAAGTGGAACGAACTGGGTAAGCGCTCGGTGTCTTCTTTTGGAGCATACATCATGCTAATCTTTTGATAGTCTTCCAGGGTCAGTGGCGCGATGCCCTCAACCGCCTCCTCATGACCAATAACTTCGTAAGTGTTCCTGTACCAGCTACCTACGCGATGTGTACTAACCCCACATAGCCTGAGTTTACCGGTCGTGTTTGCCCGGCTCCTTGCGAGGGCGCCTGTGTTCTTGGCATTAACGAGGATCCTGTCGGCATTAAGTCGATTGAGTGCGCCATCATTGACCGCGGTTTTGAGAAGGGCTGGATGATTCCTTCGCCACCCCAGACCCGTTCTGGCAAGACTGTTGCCATCATTGGTTCCGGCCCTGCTGGTCTTGCTTGTGCTGACCAACTCAACAAGGCTGGTCACACTGTCACCGTCTATGAGCGTGCCGACCGTGTCGGTGGTCTCCTCATGTACGGTATCCCCAACATGAAGCTTGACAAGAAGGTCGTTCAGCGCCGTGTCGACTTCATGGCTGCTGAGGGCGTCAACTTCAAGACTGGTGTCACCGTTGGTGAGGAGGGTCAGACCAACCTCGAAGCTCTCCGCAAGGAGTACGACGCAGTTGTCTTCGCGACTGGAGCTACTGTCGCTCGTGACCTGCCCATACCCAACCGCAACCTGGACGGCATTCACTACGCCATGCAGTTCTTGCACAAGAACACCAAGTCTCTCTTGGACTCCGAACTGGCTGACGATGCTTACATTTCGGCCAAGGACAAGCACGTTGTTGTCATCGGAGGTGGTGATACTGGTAACGACTGCATTGGTACTTCCGTTCGCCACGGTGCCAAGTCTGTCGTCAACTTCGAGCTGCTGCCCCAGCCCCCAGCTGAGCGTGCTCGTGACAACCCATGGCCTCAGTGGCCCCGTATCTTCCGAACTGACTATGGTCACAACGAAGTCAAGACCCACATGGGCAAGGACCCCCGTGAGTACTGTGTCATGTCCAAGGACTTCGTCGACGACGGTAGCGGCAAGGTCAAGGGTATCAACACTGTCCGTGTTGAGTGGACTAAGTCTGCCTCCGGTGGCTGGGACATGAAGCACGTCGAGGGTAGCGAGCAATTCTTCCCTGCTGACCTTGTCTTGCTTTCCATGGGTTTCTTGGGCCCCGAGCAGCGTGTCATGAGCGACGTTATCGAGCTTGACGGCCGCAAGAACATCAAGACCCCTCCCGGCCACTACAACACCAACCTGGCAGGTGTCTTCGCTGCTGGTGACTGCCGTCGCGGTCAGTCCCTGATCGTCTGGGGTATCAACGAAGGCCGCCAGTGCGCTCGCGACGTCGACTCCTTCCTTACCGGCTACGGTACTTCTCTGCCCGTCACTGGTGGTATCGTAAAGCGCCCACCCTACGAGGCTATGCACAAGCACCGCGCTGCTCCTAACGAGAAGCTGGTGACTGTCGCCGCTTAGATGAGTCTATGATTATGATTGTTACTGTATGAAGTAAAGGTGCATGGAAAAGATGGTCACGGCAAAAGATGGGTTTCGGGTATATCATGATTCTTTGGCGTTTTGATTTATGTACGCGCATTTTCCCTCGTTTACCTGCACGATACCTTTTCAGTATGCGGAGTCAGCTGGGCGGCACCTGCAGTGTACAATGTCTTTTAGCTCTATTCATTTCGCACCCAATTTGTATATATAGGCGAATGTTATGTTCAAATTGACGTTTTGCAACTTGCTGTGTAATGCTCATAACGCTTTCGCCTCTTCATCGCTGTAATGGATCATCCAGCCTTATTCGCAAGATTGGAAATCGCATGATGGAGACTACAATCACTGCGATAGCATCGAGAACACGGATCCTCTTTTTTTTTCGCATGTGCTCTGGACACCGCGATTGGTGGCATTGATTACTTCGCTTCGCCAGGCGGCAGATGCACAAAGCCAAGATTCAAGATTAGTGACGTCACACACCTCCAATCTCCAGATTCGCTAGTCTTGAACGGTACTCCAGGCAGCGAACATCATTCGACTGACCTTCGTTGTATTCTGTATATCGCCATGCCCCGGTGACAATTAGGTCGTGAATATGTTACCCCGTACCGGCTGGCATCAGACGTGTCGTCGCCCTCTGCAAGGGCCGACAAGGTGCGTCTACGAAGCTGGATCCTTGTTGGCGATCATCGCAAATATACTAACAGGCCATCAGGATCGTACATCCGACACTTAGAGCGACATGTAAACCAAGCAGTCTAGGTTGTCGAAGACCGTGGACTGTCCCTGCTCGCTATGTAACTGGACTACAGGCTGGTGAAGACAAAACCGGTCACATCAGCGCAGGACCTAACGAGGGCATCCTCTTCTTCAACAATGTATTTCCTATTCAGATTCGCAAGGTACTAGGTCTCCCGTTGCCCGGGATACTAGATCGCCTCATCAGTCCGACCATATCTGGCACCGACCCTAAAGCCGTCATTGAAAGAGCGAGTGCGAAACGAAACTTGCAGATTACTGGCACGGAGGTACTTCCACGGATGCGAGAAGGAGGAGCGTTTGTCAAGTTCACTCACGACGGAAATGCTTCTGCTTCTGAGATTGAAAAAGTGCTTCAAGAGTACCTAAGAGACGAACCAGTCAAACCATGGTGGAGTCCATGGAAGAGGATGCGCGCGAAGATGGTCAAGGGAAAACCATGGGTTGAGGATCTCATGCGTCTCCCAGCTTCACGTCTGCGAGTTGAGTTTGTCTCTGCTGAGGCAGGTGTGCCAGCATCCGACGCTATAGAAATGAGCCAAGAACAGCTCTTCCAGTTCTTCAGGCCATACGGCAAGCTATCAGACATCGTTATGCAGCCTCCCGACTCGAAAGTACTCCCAAAGTTCGCATATCTGGACTATTCTAGCATTGGAAGGGCTATCATGGCCAGGAACTGTATGCATGGCTATCTTGTGTCAGAAGCTGAAGGAGGTGGCAAGAAGGGCACAATCTTAAGGCTGAAGTACGAGCAGAAGATCAAGCCTCGATATATCAGAGACTGGATCTTTGGCCATCCCCGCATCATTATCCCGATTGTAGCTGCTCTTATCGCTGGTACCGTTGCCATCATCTTTGACCCGTAGGTCCATCCTCTACGTAGATAGCCTAAGCTGACAAGAACGCAGTATCCGAACGTTCTTTGTGAAAGCCCACATCACGCGCAACTTCCACATTGAAGACAACAAGTGGTACCAGTGGATCAAGGGATATGCCACAGATATCATTCACGGTGGCAATAAGCGTGATGACGATGACAGCATGGATGCTATCTGGGATGATAGGAAAGATGACATTGAACAAATCAGAACTTGGTTGATGGAGACTGCTGACACTTTCATCATTGTCCAGGGTCCTCGAGGCTCTGGTAAGCGCGAACTTGTCGTTGACGAGGCCTTGGAGGATAAGAAGCTCAAGCTTGTGATCGACTGCAAACCTATCCAGGAGGCCCGAGGCGAGAGCGCCACCATCAATGCTGCAGCGTTATCTGTTGGCTATAGACCTGTGTTCAGTTGGATGAACAGTATATCCGGGATGATCGACATGGCTGCCCAGGGTGCTACAGGTGTCAAGACTGGCTTCTCCGAGACTCTTGACTCTCAACTCAGCAAAATCTGGAACACTACGACCTCGGCGCTACGACAAATCGCTTTAGACACGCGTCATAAGAACGACAAGGATGCGCACTTGGGAGACGACGAGTGGCTCGAAGCACACCCAGAGCGCAGGCCTATCGTTGTAGTTGACAACTTCCTGCATAAGAGCCAGGAAGGCGGTATCGTCTATGACAAGATTGCAGAATGGGCCGCCCGTCTCACAACGACAAATGTGGCCCATGTTATCTTCTTGACCAACGATGTCGCCTTCAGCAAATCGCTCTCCAAGGCCATGCCGGACCGTATGTTCCGTCAAATTTCTTTGTCCGACTGCAGCCCTGAGGTAGCGAAGCGGTTCGTTATCACGCATCTTGACGCCGATGTTGAGGATGACCCAGCGCCAAAGGACGGCTCACCCAAGAAGCTGCCTTCTGAGCACCGCAACGACCTTGATGAGCTCGACACTTGTATTGATTTGCTGGGCGGCCGCCTTACCGATCTTGAGTTCTTGTCCCGACGCATCAAGACTGGTGAGACACCCACCAAGGCTGTGCACGAGATCATCGATCAGTCAGCTTCTGAGATTCTCAAGATGTACATCTTTGGCGCAGAGGATGAAGGCGGAAACCGACACTGGAACGCTGAGCAAGCCTGGTTCCTCATCAAGGAGCTCGCCCGGAAAGAAAGTCTAAGATACAATGAAGTTCTCATCGACGACATTCTGAAGACTGGTGGCGAATCCGTCCTCCGCGCCCTCGAACAGGCTGAGCTCATTACCATTGTCTCTGGTGCGAATGGGCGTCCATCTATCATCAAGCCAGGAAAGCCTGTCTACCACCCCGCTTTCAAGCGCTTGACTGAGGACAAGGTGCTGAAGAGCCGCTTGGACCTTGCCATCCTGACGCATTTGACAAAGATTGAGAACGCGACGATTGACAAGTGCGAGAACGAGTTGTTGTTGCTGAGCAAGCTAAAGAACCAGCCTGCACAGACATCTGGGCGTATCAACTATCTGTTGACAAAGTTGATGACTAGTCAAAACAAGGTGGAGAAGTACGAGACGGAGATCAAAGGACTGAAGAAGGTGCTTGGAAATGAGTACTAGGATTTTGGAAGGCTTTGACGAGAGCAACATATACAATGATACCATGCCCCTTGAATGCATTGTGACCCCACCCGTTCACTACTAGGTAGGATGCATTGGCCCTTGCAGTGCCATGTCCCGACTCGTACGAAGCATAGCAGTGTCGGCAGGTAATAACAGCAGTGAATATTCCGAGAATATTCCGCTAATGGTGCGGCTAGCCTCGTGTGCGCAGGAACGTTTTGCTCTGACATCACCCTGCTAAGGCTAACGTGACCGAGGATCGGGCAGGAGGAAGCATTTTCCCGCGAAGCAGCCGAACGCAGAAGCAAGCTAGCGAACGACCGTGAGCTCCACCTCGTCCACAACGCGACCTGCCATTGCGCACCTGTCCCTTCTCCACTCCCAGCGGCCCGCGCATCTTCTTGTCCTTCTCATCGCCCTTTGCAATTCCCCCCAAATCTTTTCCTCACATTTCGGCGCAATGGCACCAATAGCAGATACCGTGGTCGATGACCTCAAGAGCACCGTCAACAGGCTCGAGAAGCGCATCGCTGAGCTGGAGAACAAGCTGTCTGGCCAGAGTGGGGGTGCATCAACGTCGGCGGAGAGCGTCAGGATGATCTTGATGGGACCACCCGGTGCTGGTGCGTAGTTCCGCTCCAAGAGGGTCGAAATGTGGCATTTTGCTTACACGGGGTCTAGGCAAGGGCACACAAGCGCCGCGAATTAAGGAGAAGTTCTGCGCATGCCATCTTGTACGTTTTACCCCTATCCACGACACCAAGCTGCGGCATGGGAAGCCGGGAATACGAGGCTGACAGCTTGTAGGCTACCGGAGACATGCTACGCGCTCAAGTCGCGGCCAAGACAGCCCTCGGTCGGGAAGCGAAGAAGATCATGGATGCCGGCGGTCTGGTTAGTGACGAGATCATGATCAACATGATCAAGACTGAGCTCGAGGGCAACACCGAGTGCGCCCAGGGGTGCGTACTCTGACCATTGGTCTCTCCTTGGATAGATGGGAAAGGCATGCTAACGCCGAGTCTCCCTAGATTCATCCTCGATGGCTTCCCACGAACAGTAACCCAGGCCGAGAAGCTCGACGGCATGCTTGCTGCGACCAAGAAGCCCCTTCAACACGCCATTGAACTGCAAATTGACGACGGCCTCCTCGTCTCGCGTATCACTGGCCGCCTCGTTCACCCCGCATCCGGCCGCTCCTACCACAAGATCTTCAACCCACCCAAGGCCCCCATGACCGACGACGTAACCGGTGAGCCGCTCATCCAGCGCTCCGACGACAACGAGGACACGCTCAAGAAGCGTCTCTCGACCTACCACGCTCAGACCGCGCCCGTGGTTGCATACTACCAAAAGACGGGTATCTGGAAGCCCATTGACGCAAGTCAAGAGCCAGGCCAGGTATGGAAGAGCCTGCTCAAGATCTTCGATGACAAGGCCATGGTTGCTGGACGAACAGGCAGCTTGCTCAACAAGGTCGGTCTTAAGAACTAGATTGGGCCTTTTGTGTGAGCAGGGGCGTGATCCCAGGCTGCAAAACATTGCTCAACGATACTACGAGTCACGCCTACGTGTTCATACCGCCAGGCACACGCAGAATCTCACAATGTCCAAGGGTCGCTGGTCACGTTCGGAGCCACGTATGAGAAAAGTCCACTTTCACGCTTTGGAATGAAGAATGCACATATGGTTTGGATGGGTTCCTTGTACTTGTACAGATGCATACGGTGGTGTGGGTAGTCTGTGGGGACACCTGTGTGTTTCAAATGACTCTTGCGAGCTGATTTTTGGTAGTCTACCAAGATCGGAAATGCTAGAAATGTTCATCAAGATACCCATGGTTACAAATGTGGCCTGTACTCTGACCGCGATTCTGTGACATGTTTTAACGACGTACTCATAACTACAAGTTACTCGCATACCTCGTATTGATCTTGTGAATACACATGTGCGCTCTCATACTAGGAGCTTTCTTTGCGCCACCAACACGTGCTCCTACCCGCCGCCGTTCCAACAACGTGTTCCTAGTCGCGCACTCGGCGTTAGCACTGCCCAACATCTTCTAACCTCCGGGCAACTTCTCCTTCCCGAAAAAGTGCCCGACAACCCTCCACATATTATCCACCCCCGGAGCACAAACTAGGCTCCCGTACCAGCGCATTACCCCAGATTCGCAATTCGACCACGTATCGCCAGACTGCACGCGCCGCCCTAAGCCTCAACCACGAAACGAGACACCGAATATCAAAACCCCTCGACCCTCGACCCCGAACCCAGCAAGAGGTCACTAAGAAGGGCGACAGCCAGCAACATAGCATACCACACCACGCGTGTTCGCACACATCGCAACCATGTCAAGTAGATTCAGCAGCCGCGCCGACGCGCGCGACGACCTCTTCTCCTCCTACAACCGCAGCGCCTCACCCTCGAAATCAAAAAACAAAGCTCGCGCAAGCCCTTACAATGCTGCTGGCGGCTACGGCTACACACCACCTTCCTCCGCCGACGGGCCAGGCTTTGGCGCATATCCTGGTGCTGGTGGGAGCAAGGCGAATGGAAGCTTATATCCTGGGAGCGGAGGGGGCAGTTATGGAGGTTATGGTGTAGGGGGCGGAAGGGGGAGTGATGATGGAAGGGATGGCATATATCGGGCTGCGACACCCAACTCGAGGGGACAGTACTCTGCGGCTGTGTTGGATGAGTTGGAGAGCCAGAACGATGAGCATGTTGGTGTGCTGACTAGCAAGGTCAAGATGTTGAAGGACGTATGTTGCTTTCTTGTAACCGCACTACTTGGAGAGTATTGTGCTAACATTTACTAGTTGACCCATCTCATCGGCGATGAAATCCGCGATTCCACCACTCTCGCCGAGAAAATGAACGATCAGTTTGAGAATTCAAGACATAAGATCAAGGGTACCATGAATCGTATGTTGAGGATGGCGCAAAAGACTGGCGTAGGCTGGAAGGCCTGGGTTGCGTTCTTTGCCGCGGTTATATTACTGTTTTGGTGGGTGTGGTTAGGTTGATGGGGGATGCCAGAACAAGAGGAAAGATAGACTGGCGTATACTTGACGTTGATGATCTATTGACTATAGAAAGAAACGTTTGGGAAAGAGGGTTTTGCATTGCATCGAGTCGCATCTGGCATGGTGTAAGGCGTTTGATTGGCAAAGTATCGTTTGAATGCTTCAATTACATTGCTACCACGGTTCTCTACATGCGCTTCAACTTGCCATATACCACGTCTCCGGCTGAGGTGCGTATCAGATAACTTTCACTACAGCGTTGCGCTCAACTGCATACTCTGGTGACGCTTCCTCAAAGGGCTTGCGATCAACTCGGTCCTGTGGAATGATTTCCGTGAAGAGACCTATCCTCTCGAATTCGCCGTCATACCTGTGGCCATTGAACTTCCAAGGTCGTAGGTTTCTCTTTACCAATACCATATACCATATCATTTCTTTAGACTCAACTTCCCCCTGAGCTATTTCTAGACAAAACACAGCTTCGCCACTTTTTACCACATGACCTGACTGTGTCAGATTGAAGTCGGTGCCAAAGCGATATGAATCTTCACGTTCTCTACCTAACGGCGTGAGGAGAGCTTGGTGCCAGGCCCTGTCGTCGACTCCTACATGACCAATGATTGCCTGTATCAAGGTTCCTGATAAGACAATGTATCCACCCTTCAACTGACCCGTAGGATCCTTGCCTATAGGCGAGACTTTGACTTCCATGACAGATGCTGAAACTATCGGGGTTTGCAGACCAACGTGATATATCCCCCGACCCACTCCAAGCTCGTTAAAAGTGATAGACGCCCATGAGAACGACGGTGCTCTCCAATGAAAAGGCCGATGGCCTTTCTTGAATGTGCGCCACAACAGTCCAAGTGGCATCGTTTCTCTCCATATTCCCGCGACATATGTCCAGCCAGTAGCCTCCTCAAAGCTTTTTGCGATACCTGAGATTGCTGGGAAGATGTCGTTTGGTTTTGAAAGCTGTAGACTCGCGAACTCGAAGGCGGCAATTGTCCATGGATTATCTGCTCCTGATAGTTTACCCCTGAGCAAGCGCCATTCAGCTGAATGGTAATAATTTTTGGGTGCTAGGAACAGCTCCCATACCGCTGGCTGGCATTGATGACGCCAGTCAAGAAACCCACATTCGCAGCGCTGATGTTGCATACATTCCCATATCAGCTCAGTCTCAGCGAAGTGAAGTATTCGAGGACTTAGGACGCGTTCCTGAAAGACCCAACCTCGCTTAAGGAGCGGCGATTCACTTATTCTGTGATCAACTGGCTTTCTAGCATAAATGTGACAAGAGCTGGAGAGTGATTGGCTTATGTGCGCCTCAGGAGTATCACGAAAGAGACCCTCCTCTGAGTTTGAAGCTTCTGTAGCTGCGATAGTTATAGTGGAGTTGGAGTAGATGGCGGCCATCTTTGCAGATTGGGTCTGCCAGTCCTTTTCATCGTCTTGGATAATCTATAGGCAGTTTCAGCAAGGAGACGTACAGCGATGATCGATCCGAAAACAACCTACACATAACGAATCTATCCAAATGTACTGAATCCCAATCGCCAAGATGACTGTGATCGCATCCCGGAATGTCTTCGGCAGATCTTCTTCTCGAATGTTCTCCTGATGAACCGAGAGGGTGTCTGGCTTTAGAGTCGTCCGTAAAGGCTGCTTGTCGCCCCAACAGTGGCTCAGACACGCATATCGCCCTTCCCTGTTCTTCGTATTGACGAGGCGGATCCGACGTGGCATGTTGGGGCTTATCTCAATTGCTCGATCAGGCAACGTAGCGCACCCGCTTTCGCTACGCGACGCCAAGCACAAACCTCGATGTGATTGTATGCATGTGTCAAGCCAGCCATTGATGGTATTGAAGCTTTGTCTTGAGCCAGTATTGCCTGGTATGTGTCTTGCTGTGGGAATAATGGGATCGTCTTGGACTGTGTTGTTGTTGTTAGAACGACTCCACCCTATGTAGGCTCTCAGACTTACTATCCAAAACGAAGAATTCTCTCAGCAGCACGAGTTTACTTCCATGATGTTCCCAGACATATGATGCCTTTAAAGCTGTATCGAGCAGTTCCACAGCCACTTCATCTAGATTGGCATGTTCTGGCCTGGCCTCGCATAGAACACGACAGTAGTAGCACCCGCATTTGGCCGACTCATATAGAGAAGCTTTACTGGTGGACAGGTAGGAGTATTTTTTCCGCTGAAGCCTTTGTATCGCAAGACACGCAGCCATCTTACAGTTGAGAATTCGAGAGTTTGGAAAAGAACGCATCGACCTTGCGACTTCCGTTTGAATACCCCAGCGTAATGTAATCTCCTTAAGCGCTTATAGCGCGAGGCTGAGTCTCAGATTTGTGAGCGACAATACCCAATGGCGGTCCGGCACACCTTTGTGGTCGGTCATCATCACGACACATCATGAGTTCAAGCATCAATCACTCTCATGAGTAACTTGTTTACGCGAGTTGCTACGGAGGCATCACAGGATGCAGTGCTTGACAGTGCGTATGGCGATCGAGCCCCGAGAGGTCACCGGAGCCATCGCCGGATCGGACCTAGACGTACAATTCTGAACACGATCAAAGCCCTGACAGCTAGTGGATTTCACGGTTTCACGATCGCGGTTGGTGAAAGAGCGTGGTGATGAAGACGTTGAAGAAGAAGACCACGCGTCGAAGAGCTGTCGCGTGCTCGCTTCGAGGAGGGACTGCGCGTCATCAACTAACCTTGACCCTTCTAAGGGTCACGGTACCTTTTCGGGCTCCGTTCTACAACAAATCGACATGCCTACTGATCTTAGACGGCCCAAGAACCTTTACCCAGATTTCTTTGCCTTTGCGATCGTCTTACTATAAACATGCTGACAGTCGGTCTACTGTATGTTGCAGGCTCGACAGAGAGATACTAACAGCTGTCTGCTGGTAAGTACTGGTCGCTCATTACTTTTTTGCACCCCGTACACGCGATGAGAGAACTTGGTCACTCCTCTCCAAATCGAGGCAGGTACCAGGTTTAAGACCCTAGAGTTCACTTCGGCCTTATCATGCGTAATGCAGTGGCTTGGCCCCAGCGCAGCCCTACGCAGCGCACGACTAGATGGAGCACAACGACTTTGGAAATCAGGGATCCCCTAGAGGTTCGCGACAACTGTCTTCCTTGATTCCTGCGAGTCAGAAAGTAATTGGCTCTGTCCTGTGCCTGTTCCTAAGATACCGGGTTATTACGTGGTCGCTACATGGAAGATGGAGCGTCGTCTTTGGGCTCTAAAGTTTCTTGAAGATGTACGAAAACAGAAAGTAACGGCCACAGCAAGACACCCCAGGAAACGCATGGGTACGTGGCATGTGGTTGCTTTTCATCTGGGCCGATCCTATGCTCATTTGCAATAACTTGCTGTCGCTTCAACACTTCCCAGGCCAGAGTCCAAATTATCATCGTCATCGGTCCAGGCCATCAACAGTCAAGAAAACACCAAAACTATGCGGTTATCGGCAATCACGATGCAAGGTTCTTGCACTTGATATCCCACAGCGTCAACAAATGGCAGCGCCACACTCGCATGCGCCACGCGTCCTGGCAGGGATAACCAAGACACGATGATCTCATACCAAAGCGAGTGCGCTAAAAGCCAGCAATCTGCACGGCTATGCGGCTCCACTGCACTAGCCACACTATTCAGAGACAGAAAACATGCGTGGCTGACGAGGCCGAGAAACCGCAAACCCTACAGTTGTGTGACTGTCGGCCGTTCTTGGCATCCAAGAATGCTACGCAATGGTCGTGGCTGACGTTCGTTGGTGGTTCCTCTGACGAAGCAAGGCACAGTCGTGGATGCCAGGTGTATATATACTGCAGGCCAACACATACTGTTACCACAAAGCGTCAGTTCAACCACCGAGTCTTGCCAGCATCGCAATATCAGTTCACCAAATACACCGACTATCCGTTCCGATCTACTGTTCTGATAAGGATGCTCTTCACACGTCTTCTCTCGATCATCCTGCGCACGGCGCAATGGGTCTTCGCTGCTATCGTCTTGGGTCTATCAGCATACTTTGTTTACCAACGATCGCGATACCATGTCGGGCCTCTAGGTCGTTTGATCTTCGCCATAGTTTGGTCTTCGCTTTCCATTCTCTTTGCCGTCATCTGGGCTATCCCCACCAGCTCCAGTATCACCGGCTATACATCCGACTTTAGTGAGTGCTTCGATCCTCCACGATGGTTGGAACAACTACTAACAACTATCGCGCAGTATTTACAGCCGGTTGGGCCGCTGTCTTCGGACTCCTTGTTAGCTGGTTCAACGACCGCGGCTGTGGTAGTGCGTGGGCTTGGAGCGGTGTATCCTTTAGCCGCAACAACTCATGCGGTCAATGGCGCGCTGCTCAAGCTTTCTCCTTCTTGTCCATGATCCTTTGGTTGGCGACTGCTATCCTTGGGATATTGACAGTACATCGCCTTAGGGGCCGTGCTGCTGGGCAAGTCTTTCGTCGTTATCTTGTGAAGCTCTAGCTAACAACACTGCAGTCGTGGCTCGCGAGTCTAAGCGTCTCTTCATCACCCACCACAACCAATCAATCGATATCATACCCCATTGTACGAGAAAAGCTATACACAAGGGTTTTCAGAGATACCAGCCATTCTTTTGCTATGCTTGAGGTGTGCTATCGGAAACCATGCTGGAGGACTTGTTAGCAAGTTTGATCGCATCCTTGTCCAATTATGAATTGTCATGTATATCCCAATCAGCGAGGGGTTATCCAAGGGTTTCTTTTGTCTCTTACTCGATGGTTGACATACCTCTTTCTGGAATCGTAATACAATCATCATAATATTCAAGATTGTGTACTCGACTCATTTCTAGGCTGTGTCAGTCAGCATGCTCAAACAGATTTGCCAATACACTGGGCCAGTAATTCAGCGATTGTCGTCACCTAGCTAAGTGATTGGCAGCAGAACCATGCGAGGCATTGTGAACGTAGCACCTAGAGTACAACCACGAGTCGCAAGATGCGATACTTGTGCAGTAGCACTGAGTCTACATAGTCCAATGCCACGCGGCTCTCCTATGAGTTGTAGCGAACGCTTTGCAAAGCTTGGCCACATCGTCGCAAACTGATTTGTCGTAACAGCAGAGGTCAATTCACCTACCAAACAGGAGCTTGAGATGCAGCGGACACGAACAAAAGTGAAAGTACACTGTAGCCTTTCTCCCAAGTGCACGTTCAAGCTCTTCCATAAAATAAAACCGACAATCTTTCCTCCACATTTCCCGAGCAATTCCTATTCCTTACTATCAACTCTGAATCGGATCGATCATCAAAATCTACTTGTACAGTCAATCAAGCCCTGTGTACTCCTATTTAGTCACCATGTCTCAAGACAAAACCAAGACCAGTAAGACAGACGGAGTCTTCAAGAACATCCACCGTCGCATGTCCAACTTTGGAAAACCCTCGAGGACTCTCGAATCACCTTACGAGACAATGTCCTCAGTCGCGGACCAGCTTCCTTCCTCCCATAGCTCATCGCCACTGAGCTCGGTGAAAAGCAATACTAAGCGTCGAAACGACGAACGTGATACGCGGCTCATATCTCTTGACAAACTGATGGACGGTGCTGCGATAGCTGACAAGGATAGGCGCTGGTTCGAGAAGATCAACATCGCCGTCCGCGCGAAGATGAACTCCTCAGCTTACGACCCTTCACATGACTTTGAGCACGTCCAACGCGTAGTCATGAATGCGCATCGCCTCTGGCATGCGGAGAAGGATCGTGAAGTGTTCCGGAACGTCGATCCCCTGGTTGTCTACGTTGCGGCTATGGTGCACGATATTGGAGATGGAAAATATCTCTCGGATGAGCTAGTCAAGATGGAAACCGACGAAGCTGATCAGGAGCAACAGCGAGATTGTATCGAGTCGTTCATTAGAAAGTCCGCACCCGAGTGCCCGCCGTACATTTGGGGTCCTGCTTCGCACGTTGCGGCCCTGGTATCTTTCACGCGCGAGATTCGAAATCCGGTTATGGTTGCCCAACAATGTGCCGCTTATCCTGCCCTTCAACTTGTTCAAGACGCCGATCGTCTCGATGGCTTGGGTGCAGTGGGCATCGTACGCGGGGCAGTGTACGGAGGTGTGACTGAGCCACGTGGTACTGGTACGGTCCGACGGGTTGTACACATAGCAGACGAACGTCATGCTCGATATCCGGAGATGATGAAGACCCGCGCCGGCAAGAAGGAGGCAGCGAAACGCTGGGAAGCCATGAAGGAGATCAGGAATCAGATTGTGCAGCAAGCGAATTGCGAGGACGTGCTGGAGGAGTACTGAGTCCTACCTAGGTATACCTAGTCTGCAGAAGCGATTGAGAAGGCATGAAAGAATCCTTACGCGTTCTTCTGCGAACATATAGCCTAGCGAAATGAACAACACCCCTTGGATTGGACATAGACAGTGGTTACAGCAATATCAAAATCAAGTACTGCACTGGTTCATCCTGTATGTAAGCCTGAAGGGAGAGAAAGATTACTGATCAAGCGACAGCAAAGTGATGGTGATGGTTGTCAATGGCAAAGCAAAGCAGGTGGGGCTCATTTCGGAATGTCGGTGATGAATTATTGTGTTCGTGTTCAACTGCGTCCATGGCGCCTTGCTGAATCTGGAGCTTACGCTAAGCGCCCAAACAAGGCTAGCGCCTCGCTTGACGCCCACCTGGTGTGGGTGATTTCGTCTCTCGCAGTCGACCTCGAACTTTCAGACTCCGACCAGTTCGACATCAAGCCGCCAAAATGTCCGCCAACTCTCTGAACAAGATCGCGCCCAACAGCCCGTCGAGGCAGAACCCCTCTGAGATCGAGACCAGCATCGCCAGCGCAAGTTTGCCCGTCAATTGCACATGGGCGACGCCAGCACTAACACGCACGACAGGCGTTGACTGACCTCGAGAACAATGTCCCCGACCTGAAGGCTTCTCTGCGCCCTCTCCAGTTCGTCTCTGCTCGCGAGGTATGAAAACCCGAACACCACAATGCGCTATCGAGCGTCGCCTACACACCTACCTACACCCATACCCATACATTGAAGAGGCGGTGGGCACTGGGCAGCAACATCAAGCTGACACCAGGATTCTTAGATCGAGGTTGGCCACGGACGCAAGGCTATTGTCATCTTCGTCCCTGTTCCCCTTCTGTCCGGATGGCACAAGGCCCAGCAGCGGTATGTCCTGTTTATAAAGTGACAGAATTCCCATACTAACATCCTCCAGTCTCACCCGTGAGCTCGAGAAGAAGTTCTCTGACCGCCACGTCCTGATCGTTGCTTCCCGCCGCATTCTCCCCCGCCCCAAGCGCTCCAACCGCTCGCGCACCAACCAGACCCAGAAGCGTCCCCAGTCCCGGACTCTCACCGCTGTTCACGACGCCATCCTGACCGACCTCGTCTTCCCCGTCGAGATTGTCGGCAAGCGTCTCCGTACCCGTGAGGACGGCAGCAAGATCCTCAAGGTTGTCCTTGACGAGAAGGAGCGTGGTGGTGTTGACTACAGGCTCGACACCTACAGCGAGGTCTACAAGCGCCTCACAGGCAAAGGCGTCAACTTCGAGTTCCCCCAGAGCCAGCAGACCGACTACTAGATGTAGGCGGGTTCGTTGGGTTTGATCGATCTCGTTATATCTACATGGGTCAGGAGTACGGCAGGGCTTCGGTTATGCGTCATGTACCGGCATCAAAAAGGAATGAGAATGAGATGATATGAGCCTGTATTAGGCACCCCTTCAAGATACCACTTGCAATTGATTTCTTTTACTGTGATGGTGCTTGTGCCCTGGCATGCTCATCTGTCTACTGTCGGTCCAGCTCAGGGTAATGCCTGAAGATACCCATGCTGAACTCCTTACGTCTCTCGCTAGCTAGGTACTCTTTGATTCCCTTGGTCTCCTTGACACTGTCATAGAAGGTTCCAAACAAGAGTGGGTAGTCCTTCTTCCTTGCCTCCATTTCTTTGGGAAAGGCAAACTCCAATCCGCTCAGCACATGCCAGACTGTAGGGTCGGCATAGCTGAGACTATCCCCAACCAGGAACTTGCCCTGTCCCTGCGCCTCATTGCCCTTGAGCACGCGCTCAAAGTACTTCAGGAACTTGGGAATGCGATTCTCGCGGAAGTCGGTAGCCTTCTTGAGCGATTCCTCCTTCTGGTCCTCGTAGTATAAGCCCACCGAAACGGGGTGGTGCGTGTCGTGGGCTTCGTTGTTGAGGTCCAGCGCCGTCAGAGTATGTGACAGGATCCACGACTTCTCTGCTTCGTCTGCCCCACTGAGACCAAGCTTGTCGCCAAGGTAAGAGAGGATCGATGGCGTCTGGTAGAGGACCAGCGCAGCACCGTTCTTGCCTTCGCCGGGAACGCGCAGAGCAGGTGGTGCAAAGACGGGAGGGTTGCCATCGGAGCCTGTGGAGGACTGGTCGGTGAGGGTGCCGATGATTTTCATGCCTACCAAGTTGTTAGCTAGGGCAGTACAGAGTGGGATGTGGCTTTATGCTGCATACCGTCCTCAGACTCATTGCAAACGTCTTTGTAGGAGACGCCTGCTGCTTCGAACGCTAGGCGAATGAACTCTCCACGTCCTGGAATGCCAGGCCAGTACAACAGCTCGTAAGGAGGCTGGGTGCGTGCTTTCTTGTTCGCAGACATGGTGGTGGTATGATATCGAATCGCAATTGAGCCTTGGCTGTAGTGTTTAGGTAGCTTGTGGAAGCTGTAGAGGGTGCGGAGAAGTCTAGAGGAAATGCGAACCATGCAGCTACAATTGCTGCCCTAGGGAACGGTTATAAGTAGGGCGAGAGTACCCCATGTCAGCTTTACGTGCCATTGCAGCTGGAGGCACTCGTGCAGATTGTTTGGCGTCATTGTGGGGTTAAGGTTGGTTCAAAGGTACCGTTCATGCTGACATCAGACGCGGATCAGACGCGGAATTGCACCGAGACGAGCGATGAGTCCGAGCAATGCGAAGATACGCGTCGGTTTACCTTCAGCTACGCGTTATCCACGCCCTCCAGCCCTTTGGTTCTACTTCCAATATAACACTATCAGTAAACACAATTCATACTGTGTATGCAACAAACACTCTTAAAGCTTTGGTCATTTGCTGTCAAAACCCATCGTCATCTCCGCTATTCGCTGATCCAGCGTTACCTAATCCTCTGAGGCACACCCGCAGTCACTCTGTAAGCTCTAGAACATTCTTCCCTCTACGTGCCATCGGGCTGTGTGCTGTCAATAATGTTTTGTGTCACACAAAAGGGCAGACGGCGATACGCTCGCCTGTGCCTCCCATGGCCCACCGTTGCAGCTCATGCATGAAAAGAGCTGCGCCCTGTTGAGAGAAACAACACATTTACTACAAATCCACCAACGGCATGTCTATTAAAACTGCTCAAGAATCTCGACGCTTTACGACATCCTTTCTCATGCAAGTACCAACCTGATTTCCTTGCAACAAAGCACAGTGAACCTGGGTGTTTGATTCTACACAAGGTGGATGTGATCGCCCCGCTCTGCACTCTTTCAGTCTAGGCTTCCCGCTCGGACCCTCTTCCACTCTGTACGCATTATCTCGAGTGCTGCCTTCAGCTCACCTTACCCGCACTGAACCACGGCCGAACACTTTTTATTGACGATACCAGGCTCTCCGTCATCATGTCTAATTCCAACGACTACGAGCGGTTCGTCCATCAGATGCAAACCTTCCGCGCATCTGATGAGGCCAGAGAGCATTTCGTTAGCGTACGTGTCGCGAAGTCGCGTGTTCGACCGTGCGATAAATGTTGACAGAGGAATAGGAAATTCTAGCAAAGTATCAAGCCTTGTCCGAAGAACACGGCAATTTGAAGAATGATTATTTGAGTGAAAGAGATATCAGGCGAAACTACCAGAGAACCGTTGAAGAGAAACAGGGCTTGGTGGGGGATTACGAACGTCAGCTTGTGTGTTACTCGCTGGAAACTCAGCCTTGCAGGTTTGTGTGCTGATTGAGGCTGCAGGAAGCGAGTTCGTTCGTATTGGCACTTATTGATGGTGATGGAGCTATCGTAAGTATTTCCAGGCTTCTGAGTCTAATCTTCCGTCTATCCTGGCAACAGTTTGTCGATGTGGGCCCGTGCATGGTCGATAACGTTCACATGATATCGCGGCACAGTCAACCCACCCATGATTCTAGTTGTTGACTATTCATCTGCAGTTTCAAGATGCGTTACTTCAAGCCGCTGGTGGCGACGGTGGGTCGGAAGCTGCATCACGATTGTACCATGCAATGCGCGACCATGTTGCTTCGCTCTACAACAATTCCGGTAACTGGCCGATTATGGTCCAAGTCTATCTAAGTCTCGATAAGCTCTCACAAAAGTTGGCATCGGTTGGCCTTCTTCGAAGTCCACAGGAATTGCGAGCCTTTGCACAGCGCTTCAGCGTCAATCAACCCTTATTTAGTGTTATCGACGTCGGTCACGGAAAGGAGAGGGCCGACCACAAGATTAAGGGTACTACATTTCTCCCGATTATAGTGACTAGCGTTGACATGTTGTCTGCAGAAATGCTTCGCACCTTTAGCGACAATCCTACCTGCCGTCACATCATCTTTGGTGGCTGCCATGACGCAGGATATCTCCTAAACCTCGAACACTTCAAACACAATGCCGCCAAAGCCGGCCGGATCACACTCCTGGAGACTACACCAGCTTACCGTGGATTCACGGATTTAGTCAACTTCAAACGCACTCGTTTCGACGACGTCTTCAGGAATGAGCCCCTGCCCGATTATACGCCTCCTACCAACGGCTTCGGTCAGTTGGCCGTGCAGTCGCCGGTGCAGCCTGTAGTACAGCCGCAGCCCCTCTCTCGTTCCGTCACGAACGACAACAATACGTCGCCCACGTTAATCTCGAGGGCCCCAGTGGTGTCTCCCTCGCCTAGCGTCACTCCGGTGTCAGCCGCCACACCTAGTGAATCTAACGGCGACTCTTCGTGGGGTAAGTAACATAGCACAATCATATCAAATACGAGACGACGCACGGCTGACTCAAATACTCTAGCCACTGTGGGCAAATCTGGTGCTCCTGAAAACGGCAACATTTCCGTCGTACCGACTACAACTGCTACTAAGAAAAATACTAAGAAGAAGTATGCTTATTACAACAAAGGTGGACAACGGCTTGACGAACCACTGCCACCAAAAGATCCTTCCGCTGTAGCTTCGCTTGAAGCACGCATGAAAAAAGTAGGCAAGAAGATGTGTAATCACTGGCACCTTGGCGGTCACTGCGAAAATGGAAAGTTCTGTCACTTCCAGCATGAGCCGAAGCTTACAACGGCTGAACTGAACGCTTTGCGCTACAAAACACGCAGTTTGGCTTGTAAGAACCGCTACTGTGAAAACATTGAATGCTGTAAGTACATAGTGATCAAGAGGATTTCAGAGCCCATCATCATTACGGCCACCTTGGTATACATTCACAATGCCGCTAACATTTCGACTTCAGATCTCGGCCATCAATGCGCCCTCGAGCGCGATCAAGGCTATTGCTCATTTCCTGACAACTGTAAGCATCATCGTCGTGACAAGCATCTAAGCTTTACTAATTCCCTAGGCCACCTTCGGGCTACGCATGGTATGGACAGGATTAAGTATGTCAGATACGATAAAGATGGTAATGAGGATTATGCTCCTTAGTCAGAGTCGTCTGGCTGTGGATAAGGGATGTGATGTTGGATCATTTTAAGGTTATGCTCACATGGAGAAGACGGTTTTGTTGTTTAGGATACTAAATTGTCAATTATATGTCTCTACGACGCTACAATTGTTAAGCTTTGGGCTTTTCTTCAATTGTGTTTCGGTTAGAGTTCAATATACTTTGTTCGATGTCGAAGTTTGAGATGTATTCTTTTAGTGCACTGGAGTGTTGCAAGGCTCTCGTGGGCGATCGACCGACCAACCGATTTCGGCCGTGGCATGGGCGACTAGTTTACTAGACCCTCTATCTTCCCCACACTCCACACGAAGAGTGCCCGAAATACATGCGAATCCCGGTGATGAGGCTAATATTGTTGCGGGACGAGAGGAAATACTGGGTATTGCTCTGCTGCGGCTACATTCGAGCCGCGGCAGCTAAAATCGGCAGTATGTTCAAGAGCACTTTTAACGTAATTTCTCCACAAACACGCGGGAGTAGGACCGACTAGGTATTGAGTATTGTGCATCTTGCCTCTGACTGCGAGATTCTCTCTTCTTTGACTATATATCGACTCTGCATAAGTGTTTCCCAACATGCCGTTCTTGGACACGCAGCCAAAAATCCTCATCGCAGGAGCCGGTATCGGTGGATTGACCACTGCGCTAGCGCTCCATGCCGCCGGCTTCAGCGAAATTCAAATCTTCGAGACAGCGTCGACGCTCACAACGCTCGGTGTTGGCATCAATGTGCAACCGTCCGCAGTTTTGATTCTGCGGAACCTAGGTTTGCTGGAAGCACTGGAGAAGACGGGCATCAAGACAAAAGAGCTAAACTTCTACAATCGTCATGGCGATTCCATTCTCAGCGAGCCTAGAGGCATGGATGCAGGATACGAAGTGCCTCAATTCTCGATCCATCGCGGAGAGTTTCAGATGTTGCTTCTGAGCGCCGTAAAGGAGCGCCTTGGCAATGACGTTCTACACCTAAACCACGCCTTGGCTGGATTCGATCAGAACGATGAGAGCATCACAGCACGGTTCTCGCACAGGAGGGACGGTGCGCCAGTGGATGAGTCAAGCATAACAGGTGATATCCTTATCGCTGCTGATGGAATCAACTCCACGGCCAGGAGACTTCTCTACCCGGGCGAAGGACCGCCACGCTTCTCAGGACGCATGCTTTGGCGCGGATGCATTGAGCGCGAACAGTACTTGACAGGCGCAAGCATGGTATGGGCAGGCCACGCCGACCAGAAATTTATCGCATACCCCATCAGCCAAAGATCAGCTGACAAAGGCAAAAGCCTCGTAAACTGGATCGCAGAGTTGCGCATACGTGACAAAGATGACGTGGACCTGACACCGCCAAAGACAGACTGGACTAAGGCTGTCAAGAAAGACGTTTTCGCAGGTCCGTTTGAGACATGGAGATGCGGAGGTTTGGAGATGAAGGACTTGATCAACAGCACAGAGAAGGTCTTCGAGTTTCCCATGTCTGATCGCGACCCTGTAGAAGCCTGGTCGTTCGGTCGTCTTACGCTCATGGGCGATGCAGCGCACGCTATGTACCCCATCGGTTCCAACGGCGCATCTCAAGCCATCATCGACGCTGAGACACTTGCCAAGCACCTCTCCAACAACTCCTCAGATATTGCCGGTGCGCTGAAAGCATACGAGTTGGAGAGGTTGCCGCCTACCGCAAAGATCGTCATGGCAAATCGAGCGAACGGTCCTGATCACGTCTTGCAACTTGCGGAGGAAAGGGCGCCGGATGGCTTCAAGAATGTGTACGATGTCATTCCAAAGGACGAGTTGGAGGAGATTGGAAGGGTGTACAAGAAGGTTGCTGGATTCGAGATGGAGAGCGTTAATGAAAAGGCGAGGGAGACGAAAGGAATGGAAAAGGAAAAGAACCTGAAGAGCCCAGCCGATTGGATATAGCAATGTCTTAACAGCCGTTTGTGTGAATAGCAGTAGTGATGTTTTATTTTTTGACCTCAGTAAAGTGTCTACGTTGTGCTCATATGACCAGGAATTGCTCTTGATGGAATTGTGTTAGTTGGGTCAGCAACGACGCTATCGCTAAGTTAGTGTGGAAAGCAGTCGCGGCTGAACAAACTCGTGGACACGCGACGTGACGCGTTCATACCAACCTCCTCCCTTTGCGGACTCCAACAACAGTGCTCATCATTACTTCATTATCATTGCTTGCTAAATCTAGAATTCTATTGAGAGAAAATTTCCTGTTAGGGGACCGCGCCATCGCGGCACTACCAAGGCACCAAGAACTCTTGTTCCAGGCAGTGCATGCGACACCGCTCTCAGTGATGCCGTCGTCCAAGAGCCAACCCTACCATAATCATGCGCATCACCTTCTCGGCGCCATCCTTGACCAATGCCTCTGTCTGGCCGATCGCTTGCTCCAGGGTCACTGGCTCTCGGAGGATACTTGTGAAGGCTTTGATGCCAGCACCATAGCAGCCATCTGCGCCTTCTCCGATGGTGCCGGCTAGTGCAACGACTTGCGCACCGTTCTTCTTTGCGCGCCGAGCAATTTCAGTCGTCATCTGTCGTCGTCAGCAAAGTGCAAAGGGAGCGACAATAAAGGATTGACTGACCTTTCCGTTCGGTGACTGAAAATCTAGAGAGCCCTCTGCGGTAATGACAAAATCCCATTGGTTTTCGAAAACCTGATCGAATTCAAAGTACTCGTTGATGGCTTCAGCGCGGGCGCGCAGTGTGGTGCCGAACAACATCAAACCGGTTCCAAGACCACCGCTGGCACCGCTGCCTGGGATCTGAGAGATGTCCTCTCCAAGTGTCGACTGAGCAACTTGGGCCAGCCGCTCAAGGGATGCTGCAAGCATATCGACCTGCTCAGCCGTGGCCCCCTTTTGCGGGCCGTACACTCGCGCGACGCCTTTGGGGCCACATAGTACGTTCTTGACGTTGCATACGGCCTCTATCTGGACTTTCTCAACTGGTATGGGGTCAAAACAGGTATGTAAATTGGGCTAGGCGACTTACCAGCACTCTCTCGCAACCGGGGGTGTACACCGTCCCAGCAGATGCTGGCTAAGCGTACCAACGACCGACCACCAGCAGCCTTGGGCAGCTCCTCGCCATCTGCATCAAGTAATCGGACACCAAGAGCCTGGAGCATCCCCGCCCCTCCATCTGAGGTCCCAGAATCTCCACAACCGATGACGATCTTTGTGGACCCTGCGTCAAGCGCCTCCCTAATCAACTCTCCGACCCCGTAAGTCGTGGTTGTTGTTGGGTCGCGCTCGTCTTTTGGCACTAAACGAAGGCCTGCAGCTGCTGCCATGTCCAACACAGCCGTCTTCTTGTCCTTGCCAATAAAACCAAGGTGCGATTGGACCAACGATCCGGTAGGGCCCGTGACTGGCACCTCGATAATCGATCCGCCATGAGCCGCTACTAGAGCTCGAGCGAAGCCCTCTCCGCCATCGTGCAGAGGAAGCTTGCGCAGAACAACGGAATTGCCGTCCAGTACCTTCCGGATTCCTGCTTCGATCGCATCGGCCACGTGCTCTGGGCCTAGACTCTCCTTGAACCCTGATGGTGCGACCAGAATCCTGAGTGGGTGCCCGCCCAGAATCTCTGACGCTGGTGTCGACAGCACAGCCGATGCCGGGTTCACGAGGTCGTCTACTTGCTGTTGCGGTAGGTTGAGAGTTTTCAGCGAAAGTAATCGCGGGAGTTGAGGCGTAAGTGTTGGCGACGCTTTCGGTGCACCGTGTACACCGAGCTCCATGCTTGTTGGTACGCTGGCGAGCATGCTTGCTGGTCGGAGAAAATAAAGGTGGGCAGTATGCTCACGGCTGTCGCTAATAGAGTAGGGACGTCGGTCGATTGATAATGAATTCGAAAAGCGAAAGTGAAAATGTGGTAAGGTAGAGCGAATGTCAACCGGGTATGCGTGATTGGATACCGTTTTTCTCTGGACATACGACATACTTATATCTTCGACCCAGACTCTGCTCGTCTGGAGTTGCACACTTTCACGATGAACAGCACACGACATAGCCCGTAGAGCTATTTCCGGTGCACCACTTGGAAGTGCCACCTAAGGTGTCGCTTCCAGCCTCAGGACCATGGCAACAACGTCATTCAAGATGCAAGTATCTACACCTTTACGAAACATCAAGTCCGCATTTCTAAGCTCCTAGTCTCGCAGCATAGCCGGGTATTACGACTACAACAGCACAGCCCTACTAGTATGCGTACTACCATGTGTATAGCTCTAGTTTGTGGTTGGCTTTTCTTGAAGACTCAATCAGCGATAGTTCCGCAGAGCCAAAGTTCTTGACTTTCCTTGAGGGCCTCGGTTCGGGCCAATCGCGGCGATTGCGCGTGTCTTCACCAAGCGGTTTAGCGAAAAACCAAGTTGTACCTTCTTGGCAGAAAATCCCGAGCTCAGCCAACTAGCTGACGTCTACAAAGAAGGCTGTTATCGATGATCAATCTCCACCACAAGAAAGCTTGCGATCTGGTGGCAGTACCCGCTACATTGCTATTGGTCACGATAGATCTAAGACGCAGTGGCTACCATGTGCTCACGCGACATTTTTCTATTCTTGAACACAACGTCGGCATATGTCTCACCGCAGCCTTGTTGACCTGTGACTCGGCATCTCAAGTCTATGTTTCTTGGAGCGTGGCATTCGCGCTACACGTTTGATACTGTACCTTGAGGTCATTAGGTCGTATAGTGCTTTTCGCATCCCGAACAGCCTCCGCTTGGTGAGCGCCTCTTTGGCACTGCCTCGATTTGTGGTAGTTGGCAAAGAGGTTTTGAAATTATATGCAGGCGATCTGCGCCTGTAACACGAAAAGGTATCATCAAGCTCCGTTCGCTATTATCACGTTTCATTCGTTCTGTTTCGGCACTCGTTACTCACCATGAATTTTAAAGACAGATTGCTTGGCAGACCCTCGGTAGACGACAGGAGCGCACGGGAGTCCTTGGAACTCCC